ATAATAATATAAAATATATATTTAAAAAACTAAACCAATAATAATAATGTTTAACAATTTATTTTATAATAATATAAATAATTAAATCTAATAATTTGAATAAGATAAGAAACTATTAAGTTTATATAAATTTTATAAGTTGTAAATAAGTTGTAAACATAATATTTAATTCTAAAATAGATGATATTATTATAAATTTTTGAATTATATTTGATTTTTATAGAAGATATAAAATATAGAATACAAAGAAAGATTTATTAACTTTAAACTTATCATTATGATCTTCAACATTAATAATAGTAATATAAGTAACTAATATATTCAATTCTATTTTTAATTATAAATTTTCTGAGGATAGCAATCCTAGTGTATTAATTGGGTTGTCATTCTTCAAGCAATAAGTCCAGATTTTAAATTCTATTAGTAATAAAAATTTGAAAATAATCCTATTCTAGCTATTTGTATAGGATATTTAAAGTTGTAACCTTGTAATTCTAGTTATATTAAGACTAATTTTAGGAATATGCAATATTATATGAATAAATTTGAAAAGTATATACTCTATAAGAAACTTTGTTTAAAAATCTTAAATAGAAAGATAGTATGATCTTCAACAGTACCACTTATAAAAATCTTGATCTAAAGATATAAACCTGGAATAGGTAATCTATACAGACAAAAATCTTAGATAAAAGAAACCACCAACTTGATTACTAGTTGAACTAGAAAATGAAATCACATTATACAGAACTAACTAGATTGGTAGTATAGAAGAATATGTAAAAACATACAAGATACTAGTAAGCTTGTAAAGGAAAGTACTAAGGTTATATGAATTCTACAAAGATGTAACAGTTTAAGGATTATTCTAACTGTAAGTGTTGGTCTCAACCATAGTGATACTGAATCAATTAAAAATTAGATAACAGAAGGCTCCAATAAGTTTAGTACAAGGTCAAAGGTTCTCTATATGAATAAACTGCTTTAAAGACCTAATGATCATGGTATATTTGTATTAATAAAAACTGAAACAGTTGGTAGAGTAGGTAGATGGATGGATATAGAAACCAGAGTGTTTAAATAGAGAACTCACAAGTGGACTCTAGGTATGTCATTTAGTATAGAACCTTCAGGTAAACTACTTAAATTAGACAATGACTAAAGTTATACAAGTGATTAGTTGTACACTTTTTCTATGGTTGCCCCCTGTGGCTGTTGTAATAAAATCACAAAGCTGAAACATACTATCAATAAAAGCCTATATTGCAAGTACTCACCTTTAATATTAAAAAAAATAAAATAAAAAAATTATAAATTTCTCTACAAAATATAGTAATTACCTAACAAAAATTGTAAATAAGATTTATCAAATAGATGAAAATATTGTCACCTAATCATTTGAAAAACATTTCTATCTAATTGATATTTTGTTAAACCTTGTGTAAAAGATGCTTTATTATCTTTTGCAATTATAATAACAATCAGAGAAGCATATAAAAGCATTTTAATTAAAAATAATAAACCAAATAAAAATATAACAAATGAGAAGTTAACTAAGTATGATCAAATTCAAAAAGCAAGTCAGAATAATATATTTTTTTACAAAAAATTAAACCTTAAATAAAGTTTAATTTTATATTCAAAATTTAGAATATTCATATCATGACAATTATTGCATGTTGATATGTCAAAATGCAATAAAGATCTTTATTTATTACAAGTTGAAATTTAAAAACATATTTGATATGTTAGGATAAATTATTAACAGTTAAAAATATTTATTACTCTAACAAAAACAAAGAATAATATTGTTTCAATGACAAATAGCCATGAACAAATTCTTCATATTATAAACCATCTGTAAATTCATGCAATTGTTATAGGTTGTCAGAAGCCGGACCTAATTACTGTGCAATCAGCGTAACACAAACCATTTTATCTCTTCGTTGATTAGCAAAAATCTAAAATCGTAGTACACGAAAATACAAGAAAAGTGTAAACTAAACATACGGGATTCATCAAGCTTAGTAATTCAAGGCGAATTGAATCCAATTAATCAGTCGGCATAGTTTTCTTGTCACTATATCTTCTCGAATCCAAACCTTATCATCGAAGTAAGCTCTTAATCGAAATCAAACTCAATTAAATTGACCAAACCGAAGTAAAATCGGTCGTCTACAGAGGTACCAACCCTCTAAAAAAAAAAAAAACTATAAATACAACATGAATTCGGTAAAAAATCTTCAGGAACTGCACTAGAATTGATACATGCACAACGCACATATCTTTATAGTACAAATGCGGTATATACAAAAATGTTTTTGGAAATAAACTAGTTTAAAATGGAAAAGCGGCGCTCACGGGGATACACAAAAATGTAACACATCAAATTAAAAACGCATTTGCTCAAACAAATTCGGAAATAAACAAAAGACAAATACCAAACAAAATCTTAGGTGGTTAATTTAAATTTCCAGTTTAAAGTTTTCCATGGCAGTAATTATATGATTTGTGAAATTTATTATCACACGAAAATATCTTTGATTAATCTAATTATATCACGATCCTGGTTTTAGCGCGACTATGTCGCGCAGTTATCCTAATATCTTAACTGACAAGTATGCTGTTTTTGAAAAATCGGGTATAATATAGATTCATGGTTTGTAAACGAATTCTAGCTCGAAAACAAATGTCATTTCACGACATTCAGATCCAATATACAAAAAAAAAAAGACTAGGAATCATGTGATTTGTTCCAAGTACAATAAATTTCACATTTGCCACTTTTCCGAAGCTATAGCGATATAATTTATTTATTATTCTCAGAAACAAAGAATATATTATATCTTGTAGAGTGATACAGTATATAAAAATATAGAGCTATTCTCAACATATACAAATGAATGAAGCCGAAAATAAAATACTTCCATTTATCGTATTATGTATATATTATGCTGGAATCACTTTTTCAACTTTTTTATTATATGTTAATGATTTACCAGAACGTGCAATTTTTCCATGTCCAACCTTAGATAATTTAGAAGGATCTGGTTGACGCCCCCCAGACGAGATAAACTGGCCAAGATCAGTTTGTTCTTGTTCACCAACCATTTTTCCATCAATGTAAAGACGAGTCTGGGGAAAAACACTGCGATCAATAGTAATAGAAACTTGACGGTTGCAACAAACTTTCATGTTAATATTAGTAAAAATAAATGGCGCATCTGTTCCTGTCAATTCTTGTTGAGCATATCTTGAACAATTTGATAATCGACTAGTCCTAAAATCCGAAATATTTAAACAAGTATCTCTATTATTGAATGATTTGGTTTCGATTGAAACCCGATGAACGTTAGGTCTTCTGTGTAAACATCGGCAGGTTCATATTCATTAGGACATTTACTCCTAGCGTACCAAGGTATTTTCGTATACCCATAAGGATTGCGTTCAGCGTCATCCACTTGATCTGGACTTTTGGTTGGATTTTCTTTATTACGGTAATCAGGATCACGAGGATTAGCAGTTACAAGATTACCACTAGCATCACACTTAACATTAAAACTTGGAATATGGATGTAACCCCTGTATTCTTTGCTTCTAGCCCATTTATCGAAGTCTCCACCTATGCTGTTCATGTTGGAAAAGGAGGTGGGCGGATCATTATTTGCTGAATCTTTTAAAACTTTACAGGCTGTAGTTCTTGATACCAAAGATATTCCAATATCTTTTAACTGCTTATCACAATACATGGAAAAATTTGGTTGATCCTTTATGTATGAGACAGTAAGAACATCTGGTGTTTGAAAGATTATCCCATTTCCCGATAACACGCTTTTAAATAAAAAGGTGACTAAGATAATAATGATTTTATTAATCATGATAGATCACAATTAATACTAACAGTTAGATTTAGGAAAAAAGATTTATATAAATTGATTATTTTATTTGATAAAAATAAGTGTTTACACAGATAAAAATTTTCTTTCTTCTCGAGTATTTATTAGAAAAGCGTGTACACGAGAAACATATAGAGTCAAATATTCATTTTCTTACAACACTAAACATAAAAAAGAATGGTTTAAATTTATGCAAGGATTTATTACGCATGGTGATAAACTACATAAATAAATAGACGTTACTATGTTGATTGATACTATAGACTTTTCTTTTTAGAAATAGCTCGAAGAAATGTAAACAAAAACTTAATTTGCTTCGCGAAAAATTACCCAATTATGCATCGCAAGAAAATTTTTTTCATTTATGTGGTGGCAATTGCTAAGATGAGCATCAATAAAGAAAAATGCAAGCTCTGAATTAGGATCGCCCGAATTAATTTGTGGTAATTTAATGCATCTTGTCACAATCCGCCGAGAACTTGCGACTCACAGAAATTGTTTTTCGCTGAGATATATATGTTGTGAGCAAATTAAAATTTGCGTCAGATCAACAAAAAAATAATTATAATTTCGCTAATAGGCTCACTCTTTAATGAAACACCGCATTTAAATGCTGCTCTGACGAAAATTTTAACTTGATTCACAAAAAATAATTGACGCAAAAAATAATTCACAATGTATGATACAATCTGGTATTAGTTGTACAAATTAATTTGTAAAACTTTCAGTAAACTATCATATACAAGACCCCCAGATATCAGACCCACTAGGTATTAGACCCGGATCTATACTATAGGATAAAGTTTTGGTAAAGTGTAAAAGACTCGGTATACAAATAGGAAAACACTTTCAATTATCAGACCCACACCCATACAAGAGACCCACGGGTCTAATAATAGGTTTTAAAATTGGTGAAATGAGACAGACCCGGGTCTTGTTTAATCAATTATTCGCATATCGCTATTCAAAATTTTATTGAAAGAAATACAGTGGCTTAACAGCAGTTTAATATCGGATACGTATAGTAATAATCATTGTACGTACGCACATATGTATGTAAAATAAATTTTTTTTATTAATTTAGCGTTAACGTTAAGACAAAGTGAATGTTCATACGAAATTAGGTATATGGCTTGGTGTCACTCTCCTGCAGAATCAAGCAATATGTCTAGACCTTTTCTTATTATATACTAGTGCAAAGCACCATTCATATATTTGTTAGTTAAAAGATGATCGTTTTATTTTTTGTTAATTTTCAATACGTATACAAAATTTTGAAAAGATTTGTAAGTAGTTAATATGAAAGATTGTGCTTTCAAAAATTTTATTTAAGTTTATTTTAATAATATATAATATATTTTATGAAGTATGCTATAATAGATATTTGCTGAATATTTTTTTATAAATATTATTATTACTTCTGTTGGATATTTATATCGAATTAAATATACGATTGGTGTTTTTGAAAGTTCGCTAATAGGTTTTTCTTGCTTCCGTTTGTTTGTAGTCAACTTATTTAATAGTAAATTAGTTTTAATAGCGACAGGATTTAATAGTAAATTGTTTTATAATAAATTATTTAATTTAATTACTTGATTATATGCTTCTAAAAAAAAAACGGGTTTAAAATTAAATTCAGTTTATTAGAGTATACATATTATATGAGTGCGTGAGAGTGAAAACCTGGAAACCGATCATAGTAAATCATTAAATCGGTTTCCAGGTTTTCACTCCACGCATTCATATTATAAATAATTCGATTTATATTTGGTTTAGATTAAACAAAATTTGGTTTCAAGTTTCCATACTGTTAATTTCTATTATAATATAATTTATTTGGATTAGGTTCATTATAGTAAAGGTTTTGTTTTGGTAGCATTTATATTGTATATATTATATATATAATATATATAATATTTATATTTTAATATGTATAATTTATTTATATTGCTTACATATTTCTCTATATATTATATCTGCATTTTGTATGTAGGTTACCTTGTAATTGCCTGAGTATTTTATTTCGTATTATATGGTTTATTTGACAATTTTGAATTTAGAATACTATGTTGTCTGCGTTCAGTTTTTTTAAATTGTCTTGATTATTATTTTATGGATTGTTATTTGTTTATTTTATTTAGTTTTTTTTTATTTGAATTTTTATTATTATTAGAGTATTAATTTAGATATGATAGTTGTTATTACGTTTGATGATAATTATTCCATAATTTCGTACTTTTTTATATTGATTTTTGCATAAATGATTTAAAATTCGGGCATGCGTATGTAATTATTAGATAATATATTTGTCATTAGTAAATATATTTATTTATTGTTACTGGCATAAAGATTAGATCATTTGGGTAGATATTATGTTAATATTTGTTAAAGATTTTTAAGATGTAATTGTCGGTTTGTTTTTTCATTGAAATATGATTGGTTATTTTCAATTAAATGAACAGATATTATTTTTTTTGCAAAATTTTTTTATAAAAAAAATAAATAAAGTAAATAAATAAATAAAAAATAAATAAATAAGTAAAATAAATAAATAAATAAATTAAAATAAAATAAAATAAAAATAATAAAATATAAATAAGAATTAAATAAAATATAAATAAAAATTAAACAAAATTAAATAAAATTAAATAAAATTAAATAAAATAAAAATAATAAAAAA